AAAACATAAAGGTGCGTGTAAATAAAACGAGTCGCGCCTGAACCGCGCCAAAAACCAGCCAGTGTCGTGTGCATATAAATCTAAAGAAATAAGCTCGCTGTTGGCGCGACTTGCCATGTTTATACAACCTTTCGATATTCTCGTCAGTGTCAGATGTATTCGACAATCCATTTTTTGAGGATCCTCCGACGAGCAGTACTTGGTAGAATCGAGAACATCGAAAGGAGGAGGAGTGAGATTGCTGAATGTTTCGTTCTGGCATAGGCAAAGCAGGCTCGTATATTTGTTCTTGTCACATCTGTATACTTTATTGATGTTGATGACGTACATTATAGCACATACAATCACTCAGCTATTATTATATCATTTTACTTTTAATATTTTTATTAAATGAAAGTAATACCCCTCTGAATTTATTTATATTTATTTGTCAAGCGATTTAAATGAAATTTTAGAGAGACATTTTACACGAATTTCTATATTCTCTTTTATTTTTACATTTTTTTTATCTAAGCTGATATTCCGAGATTTTTTTTTATACCATTTTTTAAAAAACTGTATTTTAAACAAAATAGATACTGAAATCTGAAATTACCTTAACTATCTTTAAATTCCAAATTTCTACTCTTTTTCTATTAAGAGGAATCTATTATCCTATCCTTTAGTTGATTTTTATTTCTCAAGCGATATAAATGTATTTTGTTTACACATTTTATGTGAAAGTCTAAAGGTGCGTCCTCACCGAATCAACACTGTCGACCGATTCTGTCTATCGACATTGTCGACTTGTGTGTACGCGGCAATCGACAGCGTCGATGGACAAAATAAATCGATCATGTCGATTTGTTTTCCATCGCCTGTCGGTAAATATGAAAGAGCAGTCGATCGACTTTAGTGTGAGAACGTGTTTTTGACGTTCGACATTCGACAAACTGTTAGTACTGAGTACTAAGTACTCAGTAACCTCTTGCTCCGTTATGGGAATGGCAGGTCTATATTTGGTGTCTTCTTTACAAATTTTTGGCCCGATTTCTTGTAATAAATATTCAAATTCACTTTCCGACATTCGAAAAAAAATTCTAAAACCACCATTACACTTGTATTCAAGGCTCAATATGTTGACGTCATCTTTTTTTAAATATTCTATCAAATTGCTAGCGTTGTATCTAGTTCTAGTTTGAAGATTTGGTCGAACCCAAAATCTTCTTTTTCGTGCAAGTTTTCTTTTTTTAGTCGCGATAATAATATATGCGGCACAAGCAACTATAATGTCATCTTCGTCAGACATGTTAATTTCAACTGATCGACAAACATTTCTGTCAACTCTGGTGTGGACTGATGCAGTTCTGTAGATATGTTGATCAACCATGTCGATAGAAAGAGTCGATCGGCAGTGTTGATTCGGTAAGGATGCACCTTTAGACATAATTGGAATATGTTGTCTTAAATATTGAAATATACGTATTTTATTTCTAATTATACAGGGTAACTCAAAGTATTTCGATTATATATATATATATTTTAATAGAGATAAATATGGATTGGGTCAGTTACGATAGTGGTAAAGAATTTAAAAGTATCCGAATGCCGATAAGAGTATCCGGTATCCGGATATTTACAAATTTGGTTACGGATACGGATACCGGATACAAAATTTGAAAAGTATCCGGATACAGCTTTCGGATACACATAAAGTATCCGGATACTGTATCCGGATACTGTATCCGGATACAGAAGTATCCGGATACTACCCAACTTTATATAATCCTAGTGGCATATTTAGAGTTTAAGCTTGGAAGCGGTAATTTATGCACATGAATTAGAGGTCCTATTTTTTTTATTTATAATGTTAACCCGAACCTAATATAAACTCACAAGCCCTCCCCTGTATACTTTACTTTATTAGAATAAAATATTTATTCACCTTAAAAATGAATTTATTTTTGGAAAAAAATATTCAATTTCAAATTAAATTTGATCATGTTTATTTGTGATGTACTGCCGGATTATAGACAGGTTTTTTTTGCAGTACAACCAAAACGTTAAAATAATAAAAAAAGCTACATATTATTTAATATAATTTAATTATATATTTTTGTTTTGTTTCTTGTATTTAAATTATATCACATACAAGTGGTTTAGCACTAATTTTGTGATTATTTATATTTATTCATTCTTTGTATTTTATATCTATTATAAAGGGTGTTTGGTAAACATTCGGCAAAAATACCAGGGGTTATTACTTGGACTATTCTAAAAATATTTTGTTATTTGGTGATTTGTGAAATCCCGCTTTATTCGAAGATACAGGGTGAACAAAATTTCGGCAGTAATAATGTTTTATTATCAAAAAGTACATGTAAAGTTACTTAATCTACAATAAATATTCAAAATGACTTCCTTCAGTTTGTATACATGATACAAGCATTCAATCTTCGAAAACAAAGTGGGTTTTCACAAATCATCAAATAATAAATTATTTTTAGAATAGTCCAAGAAATAACCACTTTCATTTTTGCTGGATGTTTACCCATTGACGTTATATACTGTGGACGCGCCTATACCAGCTGGCGACATACAGCTCTTTGCATCCAACATTAGAAAGAGAGGCCCGCGAGAGAGAGGGAGTTAGTCCGGGTAGAACGCCACGCGTTTAAATGAAATTTAGATAGAATTTTTTACAAACGGGCATGTATTTTCGAGTATTTAATTTAATTTGCTTTTGGGGTCTTGAAGAACTAATAAGGAATGTATTATAAATATATTTGCCTTAGATTAACATTAAAATTAGGTATTTAAAAAAGTATTAAGTATGATTTTATTCGTTTTTTTTTTAAATTTTTTGTTTCTACTGTACCTAATGGGTGGGTAAATAATAAAAACACTGTCTCTGTATAAAAATTATTAATTATTGTAAAAACTAATTTAACAAAAATGAAATAAAATAAAAATAATAACATTTAATTATTAGGTAGGTACTATTGGTGACTAAATTGTCTTTGTGAGATGTTGCCTAATTCTTGTGCTAGGTTCATTCTTAGTTGAATGTTGAATTATTGTAAAATAGGTTTTTAAAATAAGTTTAATTAACTGCAAAAAATGGCTCTGTAAGGGATATTCCTCTTTAAAATGATTTTCTAAACTAACAAATAACATATTATTAAGTTTCCTTATTGATAAGGATATCAACCTTATCATAATATTTTGTGATGAAAAGTTTGTTTCTGATTTAATTAAACCCTCAGCGATCAGACACACTGTAACTACGTCCCTCGATGGTTTACAGAGAGCGCCTCGATTTTTTTTATTTAATAATAAAGAAAGAGAGTTGTGAGATGTTAAGACACTGGCGCATTCATTGCAGCTTAATATTTTTATTAATTTTCTGCTAACAAAACCTGCAATTTATCCGACAACATCACACATATGTATGATCAATTTAAAACATTATTGTAGTTATAAATGAAAGTGTCCTCTTCCACATCTGAAAACTCTTCATATTCATGCAAAAGGTCCATAGTTACACTTTCAGATTGATTTTTAGCTGTGACATTTGAAATTGAGGTGTTATCTTGTGCCAGGCAATTAGCACTATCAGAAGAGGCCATTTCGCTGTGAATTAATTGTCTTTTGTAGGCATTTTCAAAGTGATATGCTGTCGGGTTGTTTGAAAAGCCACCCCTACTACGTATGGCAGAGAAATACATCTCGAGATGGTCCTGACTTAATTTATATGTTAGAAGAAATTTTAGTTTCACTCCTTTCTCCCTTTTAGCCGTACAATTTATTGCCGAACAGGATAGGTACACTATTTAAAACACATTACTTAGGTCCCTTTTTGAAAAAAAAACTCTTTAAATTGAATTAAACCTTCTTAAAACAGTTGAAGACTTGTCTAAATGCATTTAAACGCACGAGTTAATATATAACTAAACATCAAATGTGTCCCGGTGTGGCTCTATCCTCTGCTGCCCGTCTCTCTTGCACTGCTCTGGCGTCAATGCAATACGGTACGGGCGGGTCCACAGTATGTAACGTCAATGTGTTTACCAAAAACCCTGTATTTGTATGTTCTTTTTGTAATTATTATTATTTTAGTATACCTAATACAAATTTTTAGGTGTTTTTGCATAATAGTCCTGAAGATGGTAGACTAGACAAAAAGGCCAATACTAGTCGCATCCCGTTTGTGTTTGAATTCTGTGGTATTAATTTTATGTTTTATTCTTCCTTCAACTATTCAGTAGGTAGTTTGTTCTTTTTTGTTTAATCTAAATAAGTTTAAATTATTTTAAGGCTGCTTAGTTTTGAAACGCCCTGTCTGTGTAACCAAACAAATAACTGACCTAATCTCGACATCCTCGATGAATCACAGAGTCGGTAAAAATAAAGGGAATGTAAATATTGGCAACAGAGAGAACACACCCACACACGCCTTAAACGAAAACAAAGGGCTAGCCGCTGAGCTTACGGCCGGAACAGTTCTAAAAACTTGTTTGTTTCGATTACACATTTGAAACAATGTTATCAGATACAAAAAAAGATGTGTTTAGGAAACTAACGATTTTTTGGAATTCCAGCCGCTTCGCAGTACCCCGGAAATACCTAGATTATATAGACAAAAAGTATCTATCTTTGAATAAATATATTTATTTTTCCTTTTGAACCCGACCTGTAAGGAAGTAAGCTAGGAATTCCATTGATGGTATAGTGCACAGAGATAGCAAGTATATTTTTTTGCCCATTTGAGGTAAGGTATAAAGAAGGTACTAAAATATATGACCTAACAGACGGAGAGAACGTGACAAAAAAGTGAAAGGGTTTTTAAATGTCTTTATGGGAGATTCTTGAGTTTTAGGTATCGACTGTATGTATACAGATGTGTTTAAAAAAAACTCATGTAGTTTTTGAATTAATGATAATAATTATCATTGGTGAAACCGGGCACAAGTCCCATATTTAAAAAGAGAGTTTAAACACCTATTAAACTGTCATTCCTATTAAACTTCAAAATGGTTGACGTATGTTTGGGAAAGAAATATAAACTAGAATCTAGTGAAAATTTTGATGAATTTATGAAAGCACTTGGCGTAGGATTTCTCACCCGTATAGCTGGAGCTGCCGTAACTCCAATAGTGGATCTTAAAAAGGAAAACGAGTACTACATCTTGTCTTCAATTTCCACATTTAAACATTTTATTCTTAAGTTTAAGCCTGGCGTTCAATTTGATGAGGAGACACCAGACGGCCGACAAGTCAAAGCAACTATCTCTATTGTTGGAAACACTCTTCACGAGGTTCAAATAGATGCCAATGGCTTAGAGACTATCATAGACAGGACGTTTACACCCGATGAAGTAAAAATGGTTATGAATGTAGATGACGTTTCCGCTACCAGGCTCTACAAAGTTACAACTGAATAGAATTGTTCTTAAGTTATATAATTTATAATTTCAAGTACTGTTGTCTGCTATACTGGATGCTACTGTGACCCAAAATCCAGTATAAGGAAATAAAGAAAGAAATTAATTGTGATGAAGTCTGATGTTTTTGTTAGCACGACACAGTTTTCTTAAGCACTGATGTATTAGGAGTAATACATTAATTAAATAAAATTTTAGCAATTTGGAGTTGATTACGCTGAACATTAGAATTTGTTTCAAAATAGGACATTCTTTCACTGATGGTTTCCACGGGAGATAGTCCACAGTATTTCCTCCTGTGCTTTGCATGATTACCACATATCAGCACCTCAAAGGTAAGGTGTATTAAGTCACAAAATCTTCATTTGTCAGGACATACATTTTTAATTTCACTTATTTTTTTAACAAATATAAAGAATACGTGAATTTAATAAATATTGGGGTCTTTGCAAAAGTCAATTTATTTCAATTTTTTGTTAGATTTTTTTACTTTATCCTAACGTCTTGACGACTTTCATGTAACTTAACATTATTAACCCCAAATTTACAATACTTGGTTTGTGACTTACCGAGTGTTCCGTTATCTTTTGGCGAAATAATGCAACTAGAGAGTTAAATCTGTTTTCCACTAGGGCTCGATTCTCGATTTTCCCATAGGTAAAAATTCCACTGCTTATTTTCCAATGGAATTTTAAAACAGGGTTCTCCACTAGGTTAGGAATGTAATTCCTACGGGAATTTTGAATATTAGTACAACCAACATGTTTGGTACTTAATACGAACATATTGGAAACTGACCAATAATAATTAAGATATTTCAATACTGTTGTTATGTTGAGATCATTGATTCTTGTCATTTCAGTGATAAAAAATATCAGTTTTTGATCTTTCCTTGCAATTAAAAAATAACTGTGGATGGATACAAAGAAAAAAAATTGTCAGAGAAACAAAAAAAAAGATGGGGCTCTATATTATTGTTTCCATATTTGCAAGTAGATCAGAGGCCTCCTCTGTTGATAGTTGAAATAATTTTATAATTTTGGTTTCATTTTTTAAAGATTCAAAGGAATCTCCTGCCTCATTTACCACTTAGTCTAAAAATCCCTTGGGGCATTATTTGTTTTTCTTTCTGCCTCTTTAATTATGGCTTAATTGGAGAAGGAAAATAGCTTCATACATTTAAAGAAATAAGGTATATTAAAAATAAGATTAATATTTAAATTAACAAGAAAATAGCAAATATGACTGATGACAGATAAACTTTGATTCAGTAGAATCTATTACCCAATATTCCCATTGGAAAATCCCAGCCAAATACCAAGTGTATGCTACTTTTCATGAGAAAATATTCCTTTTGTATGTATCGAGAATACAAAATATTAATTCCCATAGGAAAATTATCTTTTTCCCATGAAAAAAAATGTCGAGAATTTCGTACGGTAAATCTACAAGTGGAGAAAACTATTTTCTCTGAAAAATGTGATCACACCTTACCTCTGAGCAGTGCCGTCTTTCATATAATTGGGGCCCTGAGCCCAAGGCGGAAATGGGGCCCCTCCAAAATTAAAACAACTAAAAATTATTATTTACAATCAGTGTATATATTTATTTTACATACACTCGTCAAAACATTTATTTTAAAATAAAACTTACACTCTTCTAACTAAAATACAAAGATGAAATATCATCCTAAAACATTAAGATTAATAACTGTAAATAATCCGCGCTATGTAAAAGATTCTTTTCTTAATCTACGGTGTGCAAAATCGTCTATTATATCATCAAAATTTATACCTAGTAATATCTCATTTTCTATACACAATAACGATAGATACAACTTAGAGATAGGTTTTTCTAATTGGTTATCATCAGTTGTTTTATTGAATCAAGTCGCTTCTCTTTCTTTATATTAAATATTATACTAATTATATTGGTTCTTGGTTCTGGGGCCCCGAAGACAGCGGGGCCCTCCGGGCCTGGGCCTGGGCCCGGAGGGCCCGTACGGAAAGACGGCACTGCCTCTGAGGTGCTGATATATAAAACTTCGTGTGAGTGGATTTATTTTTACGATTCTACCTAAGGGTCTAAAGGGCCGTGGCACTAGCGCAAAATATATCGACAAATATTCCTTTTCGATTTTAGTTCAATAATTTTTACAATGTCGGGTCAATTGGCTAAACGATAAATAATATAAATTATTTATAATTATCTAATTTGATTCCGACGAAAAGTTGGATAGTGTGGATAGCAAGTTGATGGTTCGAGCCCCGTAACGTTTAGTTTTTGTTTTTTTTTTTTTGTTGTTTTTTTTGTTTTTTATTATTGTTTTATTTCACAGTCTTGGTAATTTAAAATGTTTAGTTTTTAAAAAGTATATACTTATTCAATGCATAGTGGCGCATAACGAGGTTCATTCATTTTTATGTTGGCCGGCAATTAAACCCCGAAAAAAGTGTCTGCCTTCTTGGAATTAATTTTTTTTATATTTAATTTAAGACGCTATTAAAATTTCAGCGTGAATCAAACACTTCAAATCATATTTAAAAAAATCAACTTTGGGGTTGATTTATTAATTATAAACCCTCTCAAAAGTGTCTGCCTTAATTACTAGTATTTTTAGAATTACCTAACCTTTCAATTGTTGTTTGTTGGCCTCTGAATCAAACACTTTTTTTGGGTCATATTTTACGACCCCTTTCTATTATGCGCAGTACCTGGTGTCCCGGGGTGGGTCTAGCCAATACAGGTATATCTGCTTTTCCATCCAAATGATTTCAAATTACAAAATTTCAAAGTGCATCAAACACTTAACGGAATGTGTATTACTAGTTCTTGGACTATTAAAAAATCGTCTGAAAACAGAACTGCAAATACTTTATGAAAGTGAAAAATTGTCAACCATTTCTGAAACCGTTCCTCTTTTGTCATTAATTTTACAGAAAGATTTGAGGTACACATTTAAAGAAACTATTGAGCTACTGGCAGTTTTAGTGACAACTTCTATATCAATATCCAAAGATGAAAGATGCTTTCCTATGTTATAGAGGTTAAAAACTATTTTACGCAACTCAATGAAAGAAGAAAGTGCATATGGGAATATTATCAGTTGAAAAAGTGTTCCTCAATATAATTGAAGACTTTAATAAACGCACGCATGCATTCACGCACGCACGCACCATGAAAAATTATAGAGATGCTTTTATAAACGGTTTAACCACATGGTGTAGAGCACTTACACAAAGAGGTCCACGTTTCGTTATTGGATATGAAGGTGGATTACTACCTGCCGCTGCGCGTGTTTTCTTGGCAAAGAAAAACGATCATTATGAAGAAATGAACGCCGACTATTTTAAGCAATGTTTTGAGGAGTTGTTGATTCCTAACTTATCCAAAATGGACGAAAGAACGTTGTTGTTACGGGTAATGCTTCGTACCATTTCCGTAAATTTGGTTTTCTAGCTACCTCATGGAACAAACCCGAAATAAAAAAATTGGCTGTTTAAAAAAAAGCATTTTCTTTGACGACTGCTATTTAAAATCTGAGCTGCTTTGAGTTGGCAACGCACATACAGAGAGCAATACGACAAAAAGATTGAGGAAATAGTTGCAAAATATGGGGTAACTGTTTACGCTTACCACCGTATCCTTGGGTACGTTCACCAAACGTCAGCAGTTAACTTTAAGCGCTAAACGGCTGGACATTGACATCCGGCAGCAGATGGTAATTGGCTGAACGCTTCGTTGACCGTTAAGCATCTGTCTGTCAGAGAACTGTCAGATTAGACTGTTGAACATAACCTTATATTGTTTGCAATTATTGACTGATGCTGATCCTCGTCAGAAAACACCAAACTGTAGGTTGACAAATTTTCTGTATTAGTTTCCATAATATGTACGTTTTAAAAATCAAGAAAACACGCGCAACAATGAACTGTCTAAGCATATGTTGAGTCGACTCAGCGCAAATTCATCGCGCTGGGTAAAATTTGCAGCAGATGACATTCAGCGTAAAGTCATCGTGCCTGCCGAACGCGATCGCTTACTCAACTACTCAACTGTTGCCATCTGGTGAACGCACCCATTGTCAGCATAACCTATTCGAGATGATATGGAATCAAGCAAAGCATTATACAGGGTGTCCCAATGAAAAGTAGCCCGTTTCCATTTGATAAAATTTGGTTACGGTGGATTTAAAAGATTTTTAAAAAACCCCCTGTATAGGTAATACCTAATTTCTGTGTCACTGAAGCAAAACTTATAGTAAAATAACACATATCAGCAATAACCGCACGTTTCTATGATTTGTTTAAAAGTTATAAGCTCTGGAAATGGGCTACTTTTCATTTGGACATCCTATATTGCTATGAACAACTTTCATTTCAAGACACGTTAATAGTTGAAGCATTTGAAGATTTCACTGAACAAAATTGGCGTAATTGCGTTGCAAATGTCATAGAAAAAAAAAACGGAAAAAGAAATGTGAGTCGCTGATAAATTCCAAGACAACGTTGATGAACTCAATATAAGAGTAAATTTTGGCGACAGTTCTGTGAGTGAGATTTCAGACCTCGACGATGACTTACAATGACTTATCTGTTGCGTAAAATTTGTTTATTATATATTAACTTATAAATTTGAAATTTTGAAATTCATTAATATTTGTTAGTGAACATACATATTTGGAGATATTATTTACACCCGTGTCGAAATTTGCTTGATGCCGGATCTGTTTTTTTGCCAATCCCCGAGTAGCGACGGCTTATAGGTTACTTGATTAATTCTGCCTTATATATGCAATGATGCCATTTTTTAAGAGGAAAATTGCTATTGCAGGTAAACGTGTTTACCGAAATATCGCAACAGAAGAATTAGATTTATACCAACAACTATTAGTGCGATAGAAACACATTACACACGTTATGTAACAATTTACTTAGGTTGAAAATTGTACAATAGTACGTATTCGCAACAGATACATTATTTGGCTTTACGGTTTTTAGGGTTCCGCACCCAAAGGGTAACCGACGGAACCCTATTACTAAGCGTCCGCTGTCCGTCCGTCTGTCTGTCAGCGGGCTGTATCTCATGATCCGTAATAGGTAGACAGTTAAAATTTTCACAGAATGTGCCGCTATAACAACAAATAATAAAAATAAATTAAAAATTAAAGAGGGCTTCTCTACTAGAAACGTGTTTTCTTTTTTAATTTTTTTCGTTCAATCTTAATAATATTTAAAAAGTTACTACATAGTACTAAATCTTGTACAATGGTGCGGAACCCTCTATGCGCGAGTCCGACTCGCACTTGGTCGGTTTTTTGAATATTTTTTTTTTCTTATAAGATGAAAAATGTTATTGTCCAGTATATTTATACGAAAGAAATTAACATAAAAACATAATTCAGAATTTTACATGTTTAATAATCGTCTTGCTTCTTACCATAAAGTATATCCTATTTATGTCATATAATGACCAATAATTCAAAATTCATCAGATGTCAGAGTGTTGCATCGGTTCAAAAAAAAGTGATCAATTAATAAATGTCAGAATGTAACAATGGATGGTTCTTCCATTGTTAGGAATAAGGGATTCAGTATGGGCATGAAACTACTACACTAATTTGAATTAAAAGAATCTATAGGTACCACGGTACCACTAAATTAACCAAATAAGTTATTTGCGTGAGAGGAATATTATATTTTATTTATTAAAATTTCAGACTTTACCTAACTCAAATTCTTGTCTGTCTTTATTTTTAAATTATGACTCGTATTATAACTTTTGCAGCGATTCTGCAACCGATTTTTCTCATTTCACTTTTTTTGTCATTTTCGGGTGTACGGCGAACCGTACTCGAAAACTTAACACTGATAAACGAATGAACTATCTTAGAAATGTATTCTAGTACAATCAGAGATCATCGTTTTCCTATACGATGTCAAAATGGTGACTTTAAGGACAAATGAGAGAGCTGGAATGGGATTAGAATGTGTGTGTGCCAATGAGAGTGGGACTCTGATTGACAAAATCTAAAAATTCGACGGTCGCAGCCATTTTTTTTTTTTGATAGCCCAACTGGTAAAAGCACAGACGTCTCTAGTCTGAAGATTCCAGGTTCGATCTCTGGTCGATGCATTCATTTGTTCTTTTATTTAATTCTCAGCTTCAATTTTTTTTTGTTTTCGCTTTAGGGATATGGAGGTGTATTTTTTATAATTTACTAGGGAGAATAGAGAATTATATATTTTCATTTTTCCAAATTGCATTCTATTTATTTTTAAATATAAAGTTAGAATAAATTTGTATTATCAATTTGCAAAATCGTTATCTATTACTGTCCACAATTATCACACCAATTAATAGAGGTAATTATCTATTGTCGTAGGAAATATATTTAACATGGGTTGATGAAAATTGGACCAACGATGACTGGAGGAGAGTCCTTTACATCCTTTACATCAATGCTTTATATTTATCTCACATATTTATTATTCCTTTCTAAGTTTATTATATTTGTATATATTTTAGCTTTACTTTTGTTAAATTTATATGTTTCAACTGGGATTATTGGCAGTATATTTGTATTCTGTCCACAACGATTATTCTAAACAACTAGTACTATCACTTAGCTTAATTTTTGTGTTTTATATATTTCCTTACAGAACTGTAGAAATATATAAATAAAAATTGGTGAACGAGTGCAAAAGTCTGATTCCGGTTTAACTTCCTCAGACTTTACGGTTCAAAGTATTTCACGCTCTTTATTTGGCAATCAAGATTCCCACCCATCCTGTCCTCTTATTGTTGACGAAGACATATTAACATAATTTTATAGGTTAGTGATTACATTTCATGGTCTACAGACAGTCTAACTAAGCCAATATAATATATCCTAACTAGGCAGGAATGGAATGAGAATTATTTAATGAATTTTATAGAATACAACCCTTTGTACCAATTTATTGCTACAATTCTTATAAAGGCATTTGTTGCGACAAGATAATTTATTATTTGTAAAATTCAAATGTGCTACTATGTTCAATTTAAAATTGTTATAAAAAAAAAAGAAATTAAAGTTCTTTTAATACCAATCAATCAATACCATATACCTTACTTTGTATCTGTACTACACTGCAGAATTTTTCCATGTAAATGACACTTATCTGGTTGAATAATACAAACTTTTTTATCCGACAAAAATTTTGAACATGAAAAATTAAAAAATTTGGTAAAAGTTTATCTGAACTTCAGTTATTTTTAGGACTAATTGTTCTCTAAGAAATATCCAATTAACGGAACAAGAAGAAGAATAAATGGTACAAAAAGAAAATATGATAAAAGGGGTTATAAAAATCGGTTAAGTATTTTACCCAGAACTTCCCTCGATATAGAAATTGTAAAATTGGGAACGTCTTAGTTCTTAAAATTTAAAAATTTAAACCACCAAACCAAAAACTCTTTTTTACATTGCTGTCACCATCGATCTTCCTCTTGATCCCACACGAAATCACACTCAGTATTCTTCGTCAAGTTACAAAAACCAAAAGGACGATTTTTATTATTTTCATTTAAGGGGGACCTTTTTTAATTAAATATAATTCCTTTCAAGGCCATTTTGAATTTTAAAAAACTTAGTTAGGGACTCTTATCTTTAGCTTCTAAGATTCTCAGATATCAATTTTGGCCGATATCTTCCGACTTTAAAAAAGATTTAAAAAAAAACTGCTTACCTTGATTGGAAGTATAACTGGTTTTGAGCCAGAAATAAACCTTATATGTCTACAAAATTTGAAGTTTTTCTATAAAACCGGTTTTGAGATATCGTGCCAACAGAGAGGCAGACAGACAAACGTGAAAATCTGAAATAATCTCGGAAGATGACTTTTTCACGATTACAATACTTCCCTTTTATAGAGGGAAGTAAAAAGGAACAGGAACAGGACAAACAAATAACAGAGTAAGTAAAACGAAAATAAAAACGAGTAAAAGTATATATTTGCATTGTAATTTTCAAAAACGAACAAATACTTTTACTTTACTTTTATCGCAAATAATAAACAACTAAAAAAATATCAAATATTTCTTTTTAAGTCACATATAAACAAATAATATAATACAATAGAAAATATAATTTGCAAAACTTATTACTCTGATAAATCAGCATCCAAGTTAGAGCTAGTTGAGACTTGATTGAGATGTTCCTTGCGCAATTTTCTAACGTTGTTCTTCCTTAAAACGTCACTGATGAACGTGTTAGCTTCCTCTCTATCTTTGCAATTCTTAGATCGTCGTCTTACCATCCAATGGCCTGTAATACTTTCTGACCCTTCACAGATTCTGCATTCACCAAGAAAATTTGCAATTTTTTTACCTTTGTTAGAAACGGCAGTGAGTGCTACCAAGGAAGAATGTTTGAAAGGTACCAGTGAAGTAGCGTTCCAACTGCTTTCGGTTAGAAAACCGTTCATCGGCGGTTCTTGCGGTACTATTTTGACATTTGGGGCCTGCGGATGAAATCTATTGAAAAATCTGATCTGCATTCCACCAGCAAAACTGTCCCAATCACCGGTAATATTGCAAAGACTTGCATCTCCTTCTGAAGTTTTGGCTGCGTTTTCGTATCTGATAAGCTCTTGCACGTCTTTCATAACTTTTCCTAAAAGCTCCTTCTTCTGTGTAGTGGTTTCTTCTGAATCTGTATCGTATTCATCTGTTACTAATTCACCGCTCTTATCATCATCTCCGTTTTTGCAAGACGATACTAAGGATGACTGATTAGTTGATTCAGTACTGGGTCCGGAATTTGTTGTACCAGCTGAAGAAGAGTGGCCATTATTTTGGAGAGTAGTCGATGATTCAGAACTTTGAACACTTGATGATGGCAACGATGACTTTGATACATGCGAAGTTGATACTAAGGTTGTGCTTTCTTGAGAAATTGATGTATCGGAATCGTCTGCAACTCTTACTCTTCTCATTGCCAATTCAGACGCATTGCCTTTGTTTGCTTTAAGCTTTTCTAGTTGTAAAAGACGCGCTTTCCTCTTAAATCTTTTTATAAAATTTTTCAAGTTCTCACTCAATGGTGCCGATTTTAGGTATTCCTTTTCTCTGCATAGTAAGTTTCTTTTGGCTACTTCTAAAATGTTTGAGTCTTCTGTTGTATCAGCCTTACAAGTCTCGATGAGGATAAAGAAAAATAACAGTGTTAAGTTACATCTCATCCATTTTAATAAATAATTCTTCATTGTCTCTAATTGTGTGAAGCATTAAACTTTTTGAAGTTAAAAATCATTGTATATAACTGTCACAATGTGTCAATCGGTCTGTAGTAAACATAGATCTCGTAGTATAAATACAAACTGACAGATTACTTAGGGCCGGTTTTTTAATGTGTAGTTAACTTTGACCTTGAGCTAACTGAATTTTAACTAAAACATTTGTTTTTCAATTGATAGTGGAAGACTAACTGAAAGCTAACTTTAACCTTATCTAGGGTAGTGTTAACCCATTGTTAAGAGATAATCATAACTTTATAACCTATATCTTCTTTGACATTATGAATGCTTTAAATATTGTTAATGCTTACAGTAAAGAAAGGGAAGAACTAGTGAGAAGACCAAAAATAATTCGACAGAGGCCTAATTTTATGGAACAATATGATAGTTCATATTTTTTCAAAAGATTTAGATTGTCGAAGCGGACTGTTGAGATGATCGTTAATGAAGTTCGGGCGTTTTGGAATATCTAACTGATAGGTATTAATGAAGTATTTAATGGAGTACAATACATATTAATATTTGGGACAATTATTTTGTATTGTAGGAATGACTATCTCTCAGTAACATACCAGTTATTATTAGCTTTACTATACTATACAACAGGTATCTTTTTAGAGGTTGTATGTGATTGTAGTGGGGTATCAAAGTCTACTGCGTGTAAAAGTGTAAGGAAACTTTCACAGGCTATATCAAGATTAAGGCCTAATTACATAAGGATGCCTGAAACCGTGAAATAAATTAATCATTGTTATAGTGATTTCACGATCCAGCTCGCTTTCCACAATGTATTAAAGCAATTGATTGTACGCATGTCAAAATAATTTCGCCAGGAGGAGACAATCCGGAACATGAATGTGCAAACAATTTCAAATTCCTCTTTTAAGATCCAAGACATTGTTGCAAGATGGCCAGGGTCCACGCATGACTCACAAATCTTCCGCAATTCAAATATTTGCACAATACTGGAAGAAGGTCAAATTGGAGACAGTTGTATTATTGATGATAAAGGATATCCTATAAAGCCCTATTTATTAACACCATTACATGAGACCCATAATAGAGCTGAAGAGCTTTTTAATGAATCTCTAATAAGAACCAGGAATGTGGTGAAACATTTTTACGGAGTTTGTAAAAGAAGATTTCCTACTTTAGTTACAGGTGTAACATTAAAATTAGATTGAAGCAATAATAATTGTTACTGTTGTGTAACACAATATAGCGTATGATGAGAATAAAGATATTCCCCCAGTTAATGAAAATGAAGCAGCAACAACTAATTTTGTTAATTTAGATGTAACAAATTTGCATTCTATTAGAGACGCTAGTATTTTTGTGTGAACGTGTATTAGTTTAAAATAATTGTCTGTTTAATAATTCTAGCTTCCTCTCATAAATTTTCATTTTCATATTGTGTTCTTTTCTGGACTGTTTATATATTTTTTGTAACATTTTCCTTTGCTATATTTTTTTCTAAAAATTAAAAATTACTTGAAATAACCAAAAAAGGTTGACAGCTGTGTGCACGTAGTTTAGATTCAAAAGGAAAGACTTTTTTGTGCAAAAGACAAAGGATATTGTTGTCTCTTTCCTTTGTCTCAACACTCAAGTGAACCTTAACAGAAATTTAATACCACTCCATAGACAACTCAACTAACCCTCTATGATGATGTAGGTCCGAGTCGCTCAATACAATCCTTTGAGAGCCATCCCCTCCTAAACTCTATTTCACCCATCAGAGCCTACCTTTGGGACCATGGTACTCTTTTGTTTAAAACTTTTTTGTTCTTTATTTTGTCTCTTTCAACCATGAGTATGCTTCCCTTCGGATCTCCCGTGCTACACTATAGCCTGGCGGCTTATTGTACCACCATTTGAAGATGATTATGCTTGATGAGTGATTTAGTAATTTTTAAGACTAAGCATCAGATTCACCTCTAGGGACTTCTGCAGAGCCCGAGATGGCACATCAGAACCACGCGGGTGACATTTTTGTTTTGTCTTGACATTAAAAGGATCATTAAAAATAATAACATCATTTCATATTAAATATTTATTTAAATTTAACTAACAATAAATCAAATCTTTAAATTTAATACTAACAAATTTTGATCTCCGTTAACCACCTCCAATCACTCGAATCACACTTGGAGAAACATGTTCCACACTGAGGTAAACAGACCTCCTCTTTTGACATTTAACAAGTCAACGTCTTTAAGTGTCGCTTGTCACCACTGTCATGTGGAAACGGTTAAACAACTTGAATAAAAATAAAAATGAATAGATAAAGAAATTTAAATTTGAAAATATTAATAATTAATAATACTAATAATATGATTTAGCAAGTTGTAAATATCCCGAAATATCTAATTTTGGGAGTGAGGATGACCAGGAACTTGTTGGATATATTGTGGACAGTAGGTAGATTTTTTTTATTATTATAATGTATATACATATAAAAAAAAACCTTCAGTTTTTTACTTTGGCCTTCTGCGTTTAACTTTCTTCATATTAACTTTTGTATTCTAGATTCAAATTTCAATATATATTTTCCAGTCACCCTCTATTTGTAAATTTCTTTAAATTTTAACTAATTTGTTAACTTGTTTTCAATTGTGCGAATGGTGAAGGTGGTATAATTCCTTATTTCCACACAAGCTAACTTGCTTCTGGAGATCAGATATGATTTGTAAGGGCTTATCCCAGACCCACTATTCCCAATACTGGATTTTTGTCACTTTGTTTGTATCTTTTAATTGTTAATTTGTTCAAACAACCGTATATATAAAATTTTAACTCTTGACTTAAAAGTCTTAATCAGATTTATATTTTTTAAATTGTAAGTTTACATCCACAATTTTTGTAGATAAGCACTGATGATGGCTAATAAGGCGAAAAGGCTTTGCATTTATTAATTAAAAAGTTTTGCACGAAATACAAGTCTTTCCTTTTGAAATTAAAAATTACATTTAAATTTTTTTATACCTTTATGACCTGCATATGACATACTTATTGATTTTTTTTTACAATTAGGTTCTTCTAATTTCTTCTTTTTTAAACCCTTTGGTGTGTAATTTACTACTTTTGCTACATTTTCCCAGGCTGCCTTCTCTTCCTGCCAAGAAGTCGCACCACTTTTTTTACCTTCTATTACTTTTTATGTTTTTCTACGACGTTAACAAGAAAAACTTCTTCAGCATTAACATGTGTGAAGTTTTTGCCGCGTTTTCTGTTTTCTTTTTCAAGTTTTCCCATCTGAAATTAAACTGTTATTAAAACTACATCTGGGTATATTATAATAGGCAATACTTATAGTTAAATGTTGTCTCTGGTTAAATAATAGATATGTATAAGTTTATAGAAACATTCCAAATTTCAATAATTTAAAATCCGGCGTCTTCTTAAATATTTATAGGTTAACTTTCTTATTTTGAATATGTCATATGTCATTCATCGTGATTTAAAAATAACAGTAGAATACCACAGAACCATTACAGAACACATAAATAAACAACGGTGCCAAATTAAAATTCATTTAAAATCTAGGTCAATTAACAAAAAATACAATTTGCATTGAAAAACACTTCTTATTTTAACCAGAGGTTAACCTTCAAGTAGAAGTTAGTTAACCTCCAAGTTAACATTACATTGAAAAACCTTCCCTTAGCTGTCAAAAATGTTAGATAATCGGAGAGATAATCAGATAATATTTAAACTAAAGTTAATGTCCAAACATAGTACACACCATGAACAAACTATCCAACCGTGGTCCAAACCAATGGCAGAATAGTTTGTTTTTATTTGGCATAGAGACCTTGATTTGATAGTGCCTTGACATAAACAATACGACATTTCACTTTTTTCCCTAAAGGCTAGACAGCTACCGTCTATAAACTTTGCAATCTAGGATGCAATTTGACAAATATTTTCAAGTTTGAAGTGTATGTACTGACTTTTTACATCAATTTTAATGATATTTACATTATGATATTCGTCCCGTTCTTCGAGAAAATGTAATGTATAGAAATAAAACAGATCATGACGGACTACTCTGTAATATTAATAAGATATAACTTAATTATTATATTGTTTCTTATAATTTTTACCGACTCTTTACTACAGTCGGGTTACGAAGACGAAAATATTATGAAAATAGTAAAAAGAAATTTGCTATGCAGAGAAAAGGAATACCTAAAAACTAGACCTTTAAGTGAAAATTTAAAAAGCTTTATTAGAAGAGTAAAAAGGGAGAACAAGTATTCGAAAGTGAAGAGAAATAGAGGCTCAATACAGGATAACATGTACGTATTACGCGGTGGTGATATAATTCCATTAAAGCAACTTAACGTTAGGGATACAGGGGAATATAAAGACATTACGCAAAAAGGCGACAATGTCCTGCAAGGAAAATTTACCGTAGTACCATTGATAGTGCCTAGAGAAAATGCTAGTACCGATGATGTTCAAACCACGTGTATTTATGACGAAGAAAATACCACAATTAGTACAACTGCTACCGCAAATATATCTGCGATAGAAAAAGTCACCGATGAATATGATATGGTACCAGTTGAAGCTACGACAAAAGGGGAACTATTAGGTAAGGAATTTACAAAGTACTATACAATTTAAATAGATAAGACAATAATTACAGTACTGTGCGAATTAATATTGGCTCTGGCCTTTTAGTGGTTTGGTGCTTCAGATTCCAGACGAAACCATGTTCGATGTGGAATTTGATCGGTGCCGTAATAGCAATAATTTCATTTATGTTGAAACGACATGCAGATAACAAATTGCTTGTAAGACAAATGGCACCATCAGTCATCTGTTAGTTGCCCCGGAGTGCCACGGCAAATAATATTAATAGCCGTCCTTCCCCTCACAAGCTTAGTCGACTTATGAGGTTAAAATTCACTCCCGAGGGGGTGAATTACAGGAAGAGTATTATTATTTGAACACAAGTGATTATTTAAATAAATCATGTACTGGTTACAAACAAAGAAAAGAGTAAGAATAGTATTAAAGTTAAATAGTTTTATTAGAAAATATGTCCTTCGTAGTGATGCTGCGAGACAAGACGAGACGAGAGAGTGGCCTCTCTCGTCTCGTAGGGCGAGAGGAAACAGTTCTCTCGTCTCGACGAGAAGGCGCTTCTCTCGCTCGAGAGAGCCTTTCTCTCGTCTTGTCTCGTTTCCTCTCGTTCCTCTCGTGATAAAACAATATCAAATTTAAATTTGAAAAAGCCGAAACATGAAAAACGGTAAAGTCTGTAAGACAAAAACAAATAATTTTTCAAGTAATTTGCGCATTAGTACCCAAATTTGGCAATAAGAAACACTTATGTCTCTCTGTCAGTCAGTCTGTCACAGTCGTTTTACAATTGAAATTTGAAGAAATAAGTGGCCCAGATTAGGCGTTAACTAAAAACAAAAATACTTTTTCTCAGTTGGGGAGGGGGGAAGAGGTTAAATTGGAAGTTAGAATTTTTTTAGTGCAATACTGCGATGTCAAATGAAAGCATTTTGTAGTATGTTTTTAAAATGCAGGAAGATAGAGACATATAACAAAAACAATGTGAAATTAGAGAAACATTATGATATTTTTGTTATAATGAGATGCACTTTACTTGAGACGTAAAATAGAGGGCGTTACTATCTTTAAATTTTCTAATGGAAAGTAAAGTCATGTAATACCTCATTTGAAAGATATTTTGATTACATTTACGTCCAAGCAAACAGTTTTATTTTTTTTACAAAAATTACATTCTCGATAATCCTCGTGTGCCGTAATAATCCTAGAAATGTTAGATAATGTTAGAAGAGAATTTTTCAATCAGCTTTTTTTGCTAAGAAGTTATGAAACATTTAATACATCAAGTGGTTTTTAAATCACCTTTGATATTCTTAATTTATTTATTTTAGTAAATGCGAGAAGCGTTTCCTTAGTAACAAACAATAATTGTTAATACGAGAGTTATCAAGAATGTAACTTATGAGTAAAGGCCCAGAACATGTCTGTATAAGAACAAAGTACCAGCTACAAAAAATTGCCATTTGTGATGTGTTAAATCCCTCTAACAGTAAAAAATTACTTAAATTTATAAAAGATACTGATATTTACTCTTTACTAGCCAAAATGTTAATTATCCATTGTATACTATTGTAAAAAACAGCATTTGTAAGGTATTATACCTTCGGTAATGATCCTTTGAGGTTGAAGCGGTAAATAAAAAAAAGAATTTAACCTACTTTAGGAATTTATTTAATATAATTTCTCTAAAAACAAAAACCTAAATCTGTTTAAATGAACGTAAAAATATAGAAAATATTTTTTAAATGAGGTATCACATGACCCTACTTTCTATTAGAAAATTTCAAGCTGATAACTCCCTCTATCTTACGTGTCTCAAGTAAAGTGCATATCTTTATAACAAAAATATAATATCTCTTGAGTTTTACCTCGTTTTTGTTTTGTCATTATCTTTTTTCATTTAGAAGTTAAAATAGAGGAGGGTACAATTTTCGTCCTCGCTGTATATAATATATTCGTTTGTATTACCTTTTCTTTGATAGTTTTTCGAAAAAACGCTTAAAAATTTTAAACTTACCTTCAAAAGTAACCTCTGAATAGCAGAATGGATTAAATATAAGAAATGATTGTATAAATTTTAAATAAATGAAATGAGAAATATTTTTTCTTATAAATCACTATTTATAAAATCCTAATAACACATGTAGGTATCGTTTGTTACCATTTAATATATATAGAATAGGTGTGTTATAGTTTACTTTTTGACTATCTCGAAATCTAATGTGTTACAATTTTAAGTTACAATAAGCAATTGAAAATTTTAAATGAGCAAAGAGAAAATTGTTCGAGAGAGCCCGAGAGAGCTCGAGAGAGCTCGTGACGAGACAAGACGAGACGAGAGACAAGAATCTCTCGTTTCGCGGCATCACTAGTCCTTCCATAGTTTTTATAATTTTGGCATGAAGTCAACAACTTGTTTTATAATTGTCTGATATTTGTTGACCTCTCAATTAGTTATCTGTTTGTTGTACAATATATTTTATCAGCACAGGCCATATATTTTCAATTAGATTTAAATCCGGTTAGTTTCCTGGCTATTCAAGGCATGAACTCATTTTGTCCTTGACATATTTTATGATGACCTTCGACACGTCTGAAGCCGAATCCTGCTGAAAAAAAACTGCTTGGCCTATGGCATCAATTTTTAGTTTTGGCACTGTTAGAAGCAGTGGAGTACGAACTAAAGGTATGATCTACAATAATAAAAGAAAAGATCTTGCTTACGCCGAAGATGCAGAGCTTATAATTAGAACAAAGAAGGAACTTGAAAAATGTTTTAACTTTTTAAAAAAACATATGGAAATGGGTAATGATCCTACAAATCAGCCAAACCAACCATAAATGATTACAGAGCAGAACATTTTGTTTCGAAAGAGTTCAAGGCATTAAATATTTGGGTTTAACAGTAATAACCACAGGCCAGAAAAATAGTGAAAAAAATAAAAAGTTGGCAAAATGACATACAACTAGGAAACTAAGATCTGAGGATATCTCACGGGTAAAAATGGTATTTTATTGTAGTGAATGCTCAGTGGTGATGAAGAAAAAAGATAAAAAAAAAATTTTGGGAAAGAGAAATGCCGAAGACTATTTTTGGAAGGGTACGAGATGGATGATGAAGAAGAAAAAACACAAATGCAGGGATTAAAACGTGAATGTTGCAACAGGGATTGCACCGGCTTGTACTACGTTGTTTATTATAAGCGCACAAGCTCTTACACCTATATACACGTATATTCATTGATTTAAACAAATTTGTATCGCCGTAAAATCCTTCTGTATATCCCCTCTCTTACCTCTCACCACATGTCCCATCACTTTGGACTTACAACTGGAGCGTACTGGCAGTCGAATTGATCTTGGCAACATACATATTATATTTTATCATCTCCTGTTATCTCTGGCAGTTACACAGTAAAATTGGTAACGCCATCTGCACTTAGTAAGCAAAATCGAAGGTCGCTCGCAGTACCCAGTTCAAAAAACTAGATAGGGTAAAGAGCCAGGCGGGCAATTTTTCCACTCAAATATAACGTAAAATTAAATAGAAAGTGTCACAGTATTGATAATTCATTTTATTTTAGGGAAAGTCATCAAAGATATTAAAGAATTGGTGACTTTCGAAAAAAAGTCCAGACCGCAAGGGGAAGCCAGTCTTTGCAACGTGACCGGCGATTGGGACAGTTTTGCTGGAGGAATGCAAATTAGAGTCTCGTTTGGATTCGGGATACCATCCAAGTCACCCAAAATATCATTGGTTACATTAGAACCGCCGAGAGAAGGGTTCCTAACTGATAATAACTGGAACGCTACGGGTATAGCACCGTTCCCGAATTCTTCGATGATATCCTTTACAGTTGTGTCTACAACAACTAAAAAACTTGCCATGTTTCTCGGTGAATGCCGTATTTGCGAGGGAGCGGAAAGCATCACGGGCTTCTGGATGTTGAGACGGAGATCAAAGAATTGTAAAGACAGGGAAGAAGCTAACGCTTTCTTCAGCGATGTCCTCAGGAAGAACAACGTCAGACGGTTGCAGCACGAACATCTTGATGAGCTCGTTTCTACAATTGTACCACTAGAGCGGAAATAAAGTATTTTTTCGTTATTAATTATTAAAACAGTATTTTATTGTGTCTAATTGAGTGTAACGAGTCAAGAAGCGTCGAAACTAAATCCCTAACCATTGTTGTTTTGAAACCAAATACACTACTACAACATATGTCACTTATCGAAGTTTGGTCTCATTTACCACATGTCCTGATCAAATTTACTAAAGTAAATTAAAACGATTTAGGCCTACTCTGTCACGCCCAATTTAATTTTATTAAGATCGTGTGCTCATTCTTATGTAAGACCATTTCGCTTAGCCCAAAGTGACATAAAACATCGCCTACTTGTTTTTTGTTAACGATTACGGTGACGAGGCAGAGATCTTCAATTGTTGTAATTTAATTGATTAAACGATAGAGTTCGTTGGTACTAGATTACGAAGGGACGTTAGAAAGTTTTTGAAATTAAATAATTGTACACTATGGAACAAAGTAAGTAAGGTTCTAAATTATTTTGATATTAATAATTCAATTTTAGAAAGATGATAATTTCCTAAACGTAGTAGAATTTTTTAAAAACAATTACCAAAGAACTTTTATTTGTTTTTGAAAAACATCAGTTTTATATTCTTTAACGAAAACCTGCTTAAGGTGATTACAGCACCCCCCCTTATAATTTTCGGACAAGGATATCTCAAAAAGTAATTTTTTTAGAAAACTTAAATTTGGGCAAAATAAATAAGGCAATAATATCTAGAATATGCATATTTTTTAAAGTTTTAATTCCTTCCAGATTCCGAGAAAAAAAATCAAAGGGCTTTAAATTTTGAAATATCATAATGAAAATAAATGCATTCCTCATCAACAATATTCTTAATACAATCCCCAAATTTAAGCTCTTAATCTCTTGCTAATGGTTTTTTAAAATTCGCCGAAATTAGTGGCTAAAATGCCTCGTTAAGTGCTATTTTCTGGTTTAAACTGGTGTAAACTGGTGTAAATCGTTGCAAGAAACGAATGATGACTCAGAGTGTACGAAACGATAGTTACAGATGCGTTACACTAGAAAGAAGCACTTAACGAGGCGTTTTAGCCACTAATTTCGGCGAAGTTTAAAAAATCATTAACAAGAGATTAAGAGCTTAAATTTGAAGATTATAATAAGAATAGTGCTGTTGAGGAATGCATTTATTTTCATTATGATATTTCAAAATTTAGAGCCCTTTGATTTTTTTTCTCGGAAAATGGAAGGAATTAAAATTTTAAAATATATGCATATTTTAGATATTATTGCGTAATATATTTTGCCAAAATTTTAATTTTTTAAAAAAATTGCTTTTTGAGATACCCTTGTCTGAAAATTATAAGGGGGTGCTGTAATCACCTTAAGTGTAATCCATAAAATCAACCCTCTTCGATTGACAGTTTCAACCCTCAAATTTTTAAATTGGAAATATGAGCTTATTATACCTCTTTTGAGTGGTATTTGTTTAAATTTTAGTATGTTATTTTCTGATTATTTAAAGCACCTTCCTTATGGACCCCAAGTTTGCAGCTCGTTTTCTCTATGAAACTTATTTATAGTTAGTTCATACTTACTTGCACTTTATAAAATAAATCATACAGAGCGTTAAAAAAATTAGGAGTAGCAGTTACTGATATAAGGTGCTTTTTCACCGAGGGGTTAACCACTCCCAAAATACTTGGTACCTTCGTACTCGAAATCACTTCGAAATCAATTCGTGGCTCAAAAATATGAATCCAGCAACTTGCAAACAAGTTTCTCTCTTTATTTTTATTTTAGCCGTCCGTTAATATTTTTAATCAAAAACTTTATTCTGTATCCACAAATTTTAAGGGCCTGTTAAATTAATTTTAACGGAGGCCTTTAAAATATCAGCAGAACGCTTGACAACATCTCCTTAAAATTCATTTGAACTAATTTTGGATCTAAGTCTATGGAGTATAGAGGATGTGGTTGTCTATCTCAAAAAGTGTCCACCAAAATGTATAAAATTAAGATTACGCTCGTGCACCAGAAGGGAAAATCCAATGACATATAGTGATATAGATTTGTAAATCAGACGAGGAACAGCGAGACGCCATTAAAAGACATTGCACGCAGGCAAGGGATTCAAAAATTTTAGTCCCGCAAATAACAAAACCAATAGAAACCATAGCAAACTACTTTAGTAAAGACTTTAACTTCTGTCGTGCGGTCTTAAACACATACTTTTTTTTATTACACGTTTACGTAAGTCCCATACTTTAGTAAAATTCTGGAATAATCTTAGTATGTCAGTGTAACGCACAACTGCAGAACGCTTGCCTTGTAAGCAGAGGACCCAGGTTCAAACTCCCGACAGGTTAGTTTTAGTCAATCCCTGTGGTACAAAAAATAGCGTATGTACCACGAGACTAAAGTGCGTTTTAATCACTCCAGTGACGGTTGGAATTAAAAGTGGTACTCTAGTCCCTTCGTACATAATATACTATTCTGAAACGTAGCAAATAAGACAAAACTGTTGTTGTATTTATATTTGGGGAGCTAAAAAAAGGTGGTCCTCTACATGACTTATTTGTTTTTGTATATATATATATATATATATATATATATATATATATATATATATATATATATATATATATATATATATATATATATATATATCTTTCAAGAGCCAAAAAAAAAAGATGTCTTTATCCCTCCAATGTTCATCGATGTTATATCCGTGTTCAACGTCCAGCATTAGGCAAAAATAAATATGGTCACCCCAATATACATTATACCTGCTTGAAACCGTATTATTTATCAAGTAAAAATATTCTGTAGGTACTTATTACGTTCCTACATAAAATCTGTACGATAAAGATTATTTTGGTTTTGATACAGACTATTTCAATTATGATCCAGCTTACCTTTCCATTACAATACAGATTAGGCAGAGATAAGGGAGATAAAGATAGGAAACGCCCATAAGAAGCCAATGCTTAACAACGACCAGCTTTATCGCAGTTAACATCTGACCCACTATGTGGCGCTTTCATCGATATCAAACAACGCAGCGGCAAATTTAAAAACCTGATAATAAAGATTGCCTAAATATCGACTGCACTCTCATGTTCTTGTAAATAAACTTAAACAATGTAATTACGCTAAATTATTTATTAAAAAGAATACTACACTTACAGTCTATTATTAATTATTGTAAATCTATATTCATGACAAATATTTTTTAATTTTTGATTGTTATTTGTAACACTGCATTTTTGTTTTATTTTGGTATCTTATTTAAAAATGTTGAGTACAAATTCAATAATGGGAATTCAGATATTTTTCTTCCTATATCAAATCTTCTATCTAACGTTTTGAAGCCATTTTCTTATTCTAAAACAATAAATAATACATAAACACCTACTTTGTGACAAAAGCTGATTACTATTTGTGTTACTTACATTAATAGATCTACCTATTTTGGTTCTACCTATTGGGGTTGTTAGATTTGTTCATGTGGCATGTGTTACTAATGCAATACGTTCTCAGACTTATTGTAATAATACAAAATATAATTATTGTCCTTAAATTTCACACAAAAACAGCCACAACTATTTCGCTTAGTTCATCTAAGAGGATAACACAATCTTGAACTCAAAATTTAAAATTTAAATTCAGGATTCTTCGATATACATAAAACTGACATTTATATTTTTACAAACTGTCCACTGCTGTCCACGTCTACTGTCTGTCTCAGTGTTGCCAACCGTACGATTTAAATCGTATTTATACGATTTTTTAACTCTCTGTACGATGAATGATGATGAATATGATCTTCACTTTTTTAGTAGGTTTATTTAAATATCTGCAACAACTTCAGAATATAAAACAATAAAAATCAAAAACTACTTGCAAAGATTCATAGGCCGTTCGTAATTTCTAAAAGCAGTCATTTTCGTTCTGACTTATCGTGATTTTGACCACGGTGATTTTGTACACCGACTATCACGGCATCAGAAAAGCTGGCATGCAAAATTTCAATCACTTTCAAGTGAGTCATAAATTACTTTAAACGTGTTAATTTAAAGTTTCATGTATTTTCTTTGAAAACATTTTTATAAATAGATAAAGAAATTATCATGTTAAAGCTTTTTTTTTTTTTCATTCCATTTAAGTTATATTATGCTATGCATGTATTTATTGTACAATTTTCTTGTCGAAATACCATTTTTCTACTCATACGATCTCTCAAAAAAAATATTTGGCAACGCTGGTCTCTCTACAAACGACGTAGACCTGTAGTTAACATCTGAGACACTAGATGACGCCATCGTTGCTGCGGTCGTTGCGTTTCCAATCTTTATGTCCCTTATCTCTGCAGATTAGGTAAGGAATTACATATAGATGAGCAATATATGTAACTATATACATCATTAGTGTGATTGTGTGATCTGAATTATCGACTGTCGCCGTCCCTCTGATAGAGAAGCGCCATCTTAATTTTATACATTTTGAGGGGCACTTTTTGTACACAAAGATAGTTCTCCTTACTTCTACACTCCATACCTAAGTCTATTAAAGGAAAATAAGAAGAGTGGACAACATAATAAACATAACCAATAACCAAACAATTTGCAATTTTATATTTTAATTTATACTTTTTGATTAGGATTCTGGGTTTGGCTGTCGTTCTGTTTTAATACTGAAATCAACTCAAAAAACTGAATTCTTACTACATTTATATTATTAAATCGAAAAATGTTTTCAAAAGATATATTTTAAAGGCATATTTTAAACGAATATTTTAAGGAAATATTTTAAAGGAATATTTTAAAGGAATATTTTAAAGGAATATTTTAAAGGAATATTTTAAAGGAATATTTTAAAGGAATATTTTAAAGGAATTTTTTAAAGGTATATTTAAAAAAAATATTTTAAAGGAATGTTTTAAAGGCATATTTTAAAGAAACATTTTATGGGAATAGTTTAAAAAAATATTTTAAAGCAATGTTTTAAAGGAATATTTTAAAACAACGTTTTAAAGGA